TTTTAAAATCTGAATAAATTATTAGTGAGTGCTAGAGTGTGTAATTAAGGTTTTTAGCATAACTTTATTTCTTAAATCATTCTGGTAGCATTTAAACAACAGCTATCCAAATGATAGTGATACAAATTAAAATTTGCTGTTGGATCATAAAGATTATTAAATATAAAACCTGTAGATAAAGTTTTACCATGTATCCATGCCAACAAGATAGAACAGTAACTTGGAGTGATATTTTTACTGGCTATCTAAGAGGGTCCCTCCCTGACAGTGCATTCTCTGTAATAAATTTCCTAGATGATGCTCTGTTTTGTGGAAAATAAACCAAGAGAGCTAAAGAAAATATTTTATTGAATTACACACATAACAGGCCACTACTAAGAAAATCCATATCCTAACATCAATCCCATGAACATCCCAAGGCCAACTCAAATCTTTTAGCACTTCATACACAATTTCTAATGAAACAAGTTTTAGCCTTTCCCCCACCTCAACCAAATTCAGACAAATGGGTCAGATAAATAGCTTCAAAGTCAATATAACTTTCTAGGTGACATATAAGAATAATGGCACACCACACAAAGACAGAATTATAGTAGGCAGAAAGAAACTATAAGTAAGTATTATACTAGCTGGTCTATAATATTGACATTTGAAAAGGGAACATAATGACAAAAAGAAAGCAAAATTGGAGGAATGTAGTAAACACATCAGTAGAGCATAATGTAATCAGATGTCAGAGCTTAATTTTACTTTTATAAAAAATTACACTAATGGTGTGTTAATTCAGCAATATTATATTCTGACTATTCATGATAATCAAGTGAAATTATATAAAAATTTATCGAATTAGCATTTAGAACAATGCAGTCTGGAAGCTGTTGGCTTTGTGTAACTTGCACAGAAAAATTGATGTAAAAATTTCATTTTGACTTACATGAAAATTGATCTAACATGTCACAACTTTAGCTCCCAAAAGATTTGATTCTTTAAAAGCTATGTGATTAACTTTACTTGTGTACATCTCCCGAAGTAATTGAGGTGCAAAGATGTTCCTGGTAACATTAGATGTAATCTTATTAAGTTTATATCTATGTACTTACCTATTTAATAAAGAAAGATATAACAACAGCATATTTACATACATTTTTTATTTCTTAGTCCAATTTTAAATTTTAAAACATATATATAGCATCTGGCACACAAAGTAAAACCAAGCAAGGTAAAATCGCACATCATTTTTATTCCTTCTTTCCTTCTCTTTTCTTAGCTTTCTCTAACTTGCATGCCTCTTTGTTTTTTCTCCTTAAACCACAACTATCATATCAAATATTCTTCCCTTTAAGACACCCTTAATTCTCCTAAGGAAGTGTCAAATTAAAATAGGCGCAATCTGGATATACTCACTGTTTTATCTCAAGAGTTCAGTGCAATTGCTTCAGCTGAGATAAATGCATGAAGACTTTTCTGAAATAACTTTTACATAAGGACAAAATGATTTCTATACAAAAACAATTACCAGCCAACATTATTATCACCAGAAAATTGTAAGCTAGAATGAGCAATAAAAACATTGTATTTGGAATGAGATATTAGAGAATAGCTATTAAAACATTTTATTCCATTTCTATTACACCTTAAAATGAAAGTCATCAAAATGTCATTACAGGCCTTTTCCCCAGATTCTTCAAAGAGTGAATTTAATCATTTCAGGAAATTGAGCACTATCCACCATTCACTTAAATCCTTTGAAATAACAGCAAAGCAAAACACAATGTGAAATTTATAAGACACTTTACATTAAAATGTGTTCATATACATACATAGATACATACTGAGGAGTACCTAAAATTAAATATTTCTTGGAAAATTAACCATTTATATAAAATATTACCTTCAAGAAGACATGAAGTAAGAAACCCAAGTAAAGGAGCCACAAGTTAAGCTCTATAAAACCCCAGCATTAATAAAGCACTAACGTATCAGGGGTTTTTTAATATCGTCAAAAATCAATTATTTCGAAATTACTGCAAGCCACAATTATTACTTGTACACCGAAGCATGGAACTTTTGCTGAGGCTCTACTAAAGAAAACTTGGCATTAGTTGAATAAGGGCAATTACAATAATATAGGTATGGTTATTGGTTGCTTCAGAAAACTGGTACTTCGCAAAGAATTTTCAAGCCAAAAGAGACCTTTCGACATCACCTAATCCTGGTTCCTAATTTACTAGTTCTAGAATAAAATCCACATAAAATAAAGATTACTTTTATTGATCTCCAAAATGATCATTTTCTCTAAAGAAATAAAAAGCTGCTTATTTTCAAGATTGAAAGGAAACATAGGAAGCACCTGATCGCATTTTATTGCCAAAGCTGGCCAATTTTCAGAAAATGACTAACAATCAAATTCTCTAAGCTGTTCTCTTTAAACCTTTAATGTTAAAAAAAATCAAATTTTAAATAATTATATTTAGAGAGCAGTTTTCCAATGCTACTGGTAAGAAGCAGATGAAATGGTTTGAAAATTGCACTTTTAAAAATGTTGAATTTTTACCTTTTGATTCGAGGAGGATGTCACTTCTCATGGAACCCATTTTCCTGAAGACATTCAGGGCTGGCCGATTTAGAATAAAACTATTAGGACATTACTTTAAAAAAAAAAAAAAAACTTTACTACAAAGCCACAATCTCTCTCGGAAGGAAGCTGATGGCGCTTATAAGCAATAAATGCCTTTCCTGATACCTATTTTGTCATCACCATCTTATTAGCAGAGTGGATGTTTTCTGCAGCATCCATCAATTAGCCATTTTTAAGGACACGGGAAATGTATCAGGGCTCATCAGCTACGCAAGGCTGTATACTCCACAGCCTATTAATCACCATGGCTCCTTTCTAACAAGGTTCTAGAAGACAAGGAAGCCTAGAGACCATTAAGTAGCACACAAGCAGAATATTACCGGGAGTCACCAATATTGGATACAACTTTCCCTCAAAGCAGCAGCCTGCGACTGAAGGCAACAGAGCCGCCCGTAGAAGAGCCACAGCACATCTGCCAGCTTGTGCCTTAGCGCTTGGCAATTGCAAAGCAGAGCCCAATATCATCAGACAAACTACTCCTGACTTCTTACTTCCCCAGCAGAATCCAGGCTTTGGAGAGAGCCTGTTGGTTTCACAGGCACCCCAACTAGAGAAGGTAAAGGACACGGAAGGCTCACCCTTTCATAGGCAATCCACCTAGAGCTGCATCATCGGAATCACAAATGAAATGCTAATGCACAAGAAAATGAATGCCAATTTCCTCCACTTTGCTCCAAGTTTCAGTGGCCCCTCCACAATAAAAGATAGCTGTTTGTGGAGGCTGCCTTGTTCCATACCATTAACTCAGAACAAAACATATTTTTAGTGGGACAGCAGTGTTTACTTGTAAGAACTGATGAATTGCTCGGCACCATTTATCACTTGCAGACAAAGACGTTCAGCCACAATTTTGGACATAAATCAAGGTACATGCTCCTCAATAAAAAAAGACCTCTAAGTCCCCAAAACCACGGAGATTGAGGTCAGACTGGCCATAGCAACCACGAACAGGACTTGGGCCTCCAGAAGGACCTAGCAACCGATAAATGAGTTCAGATCTCTTTTCATCTCCACTGGTGTGAAAGCCAAAATTAAAAAGATTAGATCACCCTGCACCCATTACAAAAGGCGCCACAATGAAAAAGTCATTTCCAGCCTTTGAATCACATCAAATAAATAACATTCATCCCTGCTATAATGAACAACTTTCAAAGTAAATTGAATCTCCATAGTACTGCTTTCCCTGGCTGAACAGTATTTACATAACAATATATCACAGGAAGCTCCGAATGGGTCTTGTAAATGGGGACCTGGGGATAAAAACCATCTTTAGCCCCGATTACTGTATATTCAGACTGCTTTTCGGTCCTCCTCATTTAAACAATGTGTTGTATCAGGAACATAAACAATGTTTTTAAATTGTGGGAAATGAAAGTTTTTGGTACATTTTTAAATGTCTGGACTCATCCCAGTAGACTCCCTTTTGTGGGGCACTGAGAACATAAAAATCACTTAACCTCCTGAATCGATGCCCTGGACTCATTTTTGTGACAAAGAATTCTCATCTATGTGTGCACTTGTTTCTTTGTTCATGCCAGCAATGTTTCACCCTAAATATCTGCTGAGTGTTTTTTTGTATTACTTAAAATGAAAACACATTTGCAGATTTCTTTGTAGCGTGCGACTCATTCATTATTTCTCATTTCCTCGAAAGTAAAAGATATTCTCTATTGCCATCACAATAATGTCTATTAAGTTTTAGTAATCTCTCTACACAAAGTATTCATCCTCTAAAGTCTAATTTTGAGTCAATTTCTCCTGGTCATTAAAAAAATTAGGACAAATCCCCCAAAACGTGTAGCCTTCCATAAACTATTGTACATTTCATATATATTTCAAATGGAGTATGTTCCAAATAAGATGTTAAATCTATGTTTAAAAAATACCATCATAATCTTATCGTTTTTTGTGGCAGCTTATGTAGATCTTACTATTTGAACTCCACAGGGAATCTCATTAATTTTTGAAACTCTCTGACCTCAGTACAGTTGAGTGTAAAAATAATTACAAATTAAGAATGAAAGCGCATCCCTTGAATTCTGCATGGCCATATGCTGCTCTACGTTGCACAAAACATTGCTAACTATCATCAAATAGAATTTTTTCCAGATAGAAATTTAAACAGCATGCCGACTATCACCAGACAGACACAAAAACAGCTCACCCTTCCACTCAGCTCCGTTCACACTTCACCTCCGACGATTCCAGTAACACAAAGCCCCGAGAACACAGGTTTGCAGGCAAGTGACAGCACAGATGATATCCTCACAAAAATATTTCCCTATCCAGAATCGCTTTCTATCTCAATGTTGCAGACACAAGGTGCAGAAATACAAGAATCACGGAATCAATATTTTCTTACCTAAAACTTGTCCGAAGGACGGTCTTGTTATTGTTGTCACCTCTGATGCCCCCTCTCGCCATCGCGGAAATCGGCTCCACACTGTGTACTGTTCTGTGCCTCAGTTACAGCTGTGACACTCATCTGCCTGCATAGAACCTAAGAGAGGAAATGAGAGAAAGAGAGAGAGGATTTGCGCTTGTGTATGTGTATGCTTGTGTGTGTGTGCGTGTCTGTGTGTGTGTCTTTCAGAGAGAGAAAGAGAGAGAGAGACTGCTGACTTGAGACTAAGAACCTAAAACCTCCAGCCAAGTCAAGCCTGAACAAAAATGATCAAAGCTCTGTCCTTCATCAAGAGAGTAGACAGATATTTTGTTCTCCTCCACTGAAAAGTGGAACTGTCATTGGGGATTCTCACCAGGAAAGTGCAGACAGAGGCAGACCTTCTCCAGAGTGCTAGTGCTGCCCAGCAGTCCGTGCAGAATACAGGTACCTATTGTTCCAGAGACAGATATGTAGCCAGCCAGTCAGACTCTGACAGATCTCAGCAAACCAGCGAGCCTGCCTTCATTTTAACTCCTTATTTACTAGTGCTTTTTGGTCAAATGCAAGGTCTTCTCATCACCCCCGAGAAATAAATGGAGATGATACAGATAAACTCACAGCAGAAACTAATCCTGTATCTTTCACAAAGAGGGACTTCTGCTACTATTATTGAAATGCTGAATTTGATGCAAATATCTTATTTTTCTGGGAAGAAATGAAGCATTAGATTACATGAGCAAGACTTAGCGAGTATAGGAAAACCTTGATATTCAAGACAAACAGTGCAGCCGATTTAAAAAGAGAGAAATAAGGGTTGCTCAAAACATCCTGAGTGTAAATATATATACAACAACACAAACCAGGTGAATGAAGCCAAAGGGGTCCCAACATTTTGCAAAGGGGTGTGGCACATTGAAAACCTACATAAAAAGCCATCCCAGTAGACCTATTTCCCTAGAGGCTAGAGTCTTTTTGGTGTCTCTTTTTTAGACCTCACTGCTTTTATAAGCACCCCCAAACACCTCCCATTCCCCAGTACTGCACCAGTGTCTAAATTATATCTCAGGCAGTGAAACAAAATTAGGGAAGGTCGGAGAAAAATAACCTAGTCTATATTCTCCTGATGGATTCTGAGACCAAGAAGGTACATTTCATTCTTTAAATTCCTGGACCTTAATAGATTACAGTAGGTTTCTAACTTTTATCTTTGAGTATTAATTGATTGATTTTCTTTTAAGGAGTGAAACAAGACAAAATACCTTGCATTTGATTGTTTAGCAATACTAGAAGACAAGGAATAGAAAAACAAAAAGAAGAGTAGCTTATCATTTAGTAAAAATAAGAAACGGACCTTTCCTTCTCCAAAAGACTTAACATACAAGCTCTTTGATTTTTTTTTTGAATAAACATCAATTCTCATTAATTGTTACCATTCACCCAAGAAACATATTCTGATATAGTAGGTGTGCTGCATAGTGTAGAAAATGGTTATGAAACTCCGTTGTAAAATCCACACTCAGGCATCACTTAACAAAGCCAGAGGGTAAATCCTCAGTGCAATAGGGGGAGGTTTAGCCATGCATGGCTGTTAATGGTAATGAGACATGTAGAACATATCTGCGCACTGCCAAACAGCTTCTTCTAAATATCTAGGGTTTGTACTTTTTATTTTTTGGAAAGAAACTAATAAGAGATTGCACAATGTTTCAAAACTCTGCATGTGTGTGTGTGCGTGCGCACACACACACACATACACACACACACACACAACCTAAAAAATACAGTACCTCCTTTCATACTGTCTCTTGTCCTAATCCCAGCATTTTGAAAACATTTCAAGTCATGCTAATTTAGTTAGGATTGAGCAATTAATATAAGCTTTAGAAACTCTTTCAGAAGTAAAAATTGCTTAACTTGGTAACTTCTGAAAAAGCTGCCTTGTGGTTTCTACTCAGGGAGAGCTTCTATTATGTTCAGAAGGGAAAGGACGTCAAAAGCTACCTGAATGACCAGAAAAGTATACGGGGTTTCTGACTAAATTCATCATAACCTATAAGCCAAGAACAAAACAAGAGAATCTTGTAGCCTGCTCCTTCTAAGTGGGTTGACCTGATTATTTTCAAGCCCATTTTAAAGAACATGTATATCTTTGTACGGTCAAAGGACAACCTTATTTCACATTATTATCTTAAGAGCAAAATAGCAGAAGCCCACTCAGTGAAAGAAAGTAGGACAGATTATAGGTAGGTGCACATATAGAACAGAGCTGAATCACAGTGGAGGTGACAGCTTCCATGCAGGCCCCGGTGACTATCTCTAACGTTGCAGTTTGAAAGAGGCATCTAAGCTCTCACGCCTAAGCATGTGATAAGACTTAGGTGTAAGTACATTTAATTAGAGCATTACCCAGGCCCCATTCAAATGTTATTATCTTTTATGTTTTTTTTTTCTTTTTGGTCTCTCTATCCCACTTCTGTTGGCTTCAGAAAGCGAAGCTTGGTGTGCCAAACAAATTTTAAATATTCAGCTCTTAACATGTTTGAATACAGACAGTTCCCACAGTTAGGGTCCATTATTTTCTAGAGGTATATACAGAGGGTTATCACCATCAATAAGTCATGGGCACATGTAAATAAAACACAGATACACCATAAAGAGTGTGGGTGTGTGTGTGTGTGTGTGTGTGCATAAAGGAGTATCAATACTTGTGTAAAATACGTGTTTTATACATGATATGCAAAAGCATCATTTCTTTCTCAAAACATTTTTTTCTGAAGTCCCTACTAAAATATATCTGTCACTAGAACACCCCTGAGGTCCATTACACAGCTCTAAGTTTACAATTTACATTACAGTCCCTAATTTACCAAATAATTCATGTCAAACGAGAGTCCAAAATGAAATGCCAACTGTTTCTTGGAAGAAAACAAACCACAACCATTTCATGTGCTAGGATTTTAAGAAATAAACATTTGAGGATTAGGGGCACCACTCACTAATAGTAGTAAGGGGCAGGGTAACACTCCTGAAAGTCCAATGGGCATCTATCCCTTTGCATCCATATCACTTGATTTAAAATTAGGTTTCCCAGAAAAAAAAATGTGAAAGGAAAACAGATACCTTCTTTATATTACAGAATGTTCTGATTGTTACAATATTCCCCAGGACATGCTACCACCACATTCGGTTATTCATTCACACAATAAACTTCATGCTGACATAACTTCTCAGACACTCACTGGGAATGTTAAAAGTAACCCAACTCTACCAAAGTTAAAAATAATCTCTCCACCAAATTAAACATTGTCTAAGTTCTCCATGCAGTTATTAAATATATAGACAATCACCTCTGTGCATAATCTACAAATGGCTTAGATTACATATTCAAATTCTAATTAAAAGTCTTCATTTTATCTCAGTTGGCCGATTTGAGATTAGAGAGCAAATACAGGTTTGGCATGAAAGCCCATGAGGAATCAAGATTTCTGATGATCACAAGTTAGAAATTAGTGCAGTGTTACAGAGTATTGCTAATAGAAATAAAATAACATAAAACTATGAACAACTCCTGAGACCTTCCTCAGACGGTGAGTACATAGTGTCATGAAGAGATTCCCTGGTGATTTCTATTCCACAGGAATTTACTTGTTTGAGAGTTGAAGAAAGACATGAGAGATGAAACTTCTGCAGGTCTGAGATGAAATTATGCCCATTATTACATTCCAAATTGAAATATTGAAAAATTTGATCATGTAATTTGCCTGACTAAAAAACATATTATGCAATATAAACTAAGGCTTTTCAATATTTAAGATCCAGGATAGAAGAAATATTAGATTTCCACTTAATCCATAACTAAGTGAAAACAGTATTTCTGAGAGTGATGTTCTAAAAAGTCATGGCATTACTTCACACCATCTACAGCTTACAACATTTTATAGTATGACCATTTGATAATTAGTAGAAGGAAAGAAATGCGTTTTCCCTAACAATCCTCTCACTGCAACACAATAACACGTTTTATAAAGTCTACCTGGTTAATTTCCTGATGTACAGTTTAAATTATATAAATTTGTTTCAGAAAAGCTCAATTTACTCATCAACTAGTAAGCAATCAGAAATTTAGAAGTAACAGTGGAGTATTTTGCCTTCTTTCTTCAGATGTAACTGCTGGAAGTCAACCTCTAAGAACATGCATAGGGAGACAAGACTGTGAACATTTTCCATGGTAACAAAGGGAAAGTATTTGTACTGTTGCATATGAAAATGAAACAATACATTTTCCATAAATGTTTCTATATATGTGCTCTTAAGCAGTCTGGGACTTGGAAAAAAATGTTCATGTATCTGATTGATGAGAGCTGATATTTAACACACAAGCATTTCATAGAAGTTGGGAAACTTCCAGAAGGGAATTAGGCAGGAAAAATAAGTGAAGATTTTCCTACATTTATTTTGTACAGCATTTTTGAAAAATCTCAGAATATTCCAGAACATGAATTTTTCTTCAAGAATTGCTATTCTAGAAATTTTTCTTACCAGACATATGTTATTATTCTACATCCCATTCTTTAAGTGACATAGAACCTACCCAGCTTCTCCAACAGCTGACTCCAGAGCTGCATGGCTATTGGTAGAGTACTCTGCGGCAGGCAGAGCTTCCATGAAAGTGTTCCTCTCCTTTTCTTCTGTCATGTGGAGTCTTCTCCATCCAAATAGTCTGATAAAAGACAAGATAAAGCATGATTTATTAACATGGCAAAGTCATTATACTCCTGACCTAAAATGTTATTGGACCTTTCCCCAGCTATTGCTATTTCAGGAAGTCTTTTAAAACCAATTTAATTTCCTTCCACCCAGTCAAGTTTTTCTCCACAGATAATTGGCTTTCATTATACACACAAAAACATCAGTGAAGTCAGTATGTATGAGGCATTTAAAATTAAAGTATGCCCATATTTATGTTTGGGTGCCCAAACACACACTTCCATTTGATTCTGTATAACCGATCTTATAACGTATGAGAAAGCACCACTATAACATACGAGAAAGCACTGTAGAAATGTGAAAGGCTAAACAAATGGCCAAGTTAGTCATTGTAGCAGAAGTCCAAAGAAGCCAGTATTGCAGATGGTACTTTTTTTTAAATTTTAAGCAGGCACCTTACTGAAAAGCAATAGATTCTCCTCGCTAATTGTACTGAATATTTGCATGTTCACTACTAGAACACTCTAGGTTTATTTTCTGATTTTTTTCTAATATCATTTACATGACAGCCCTTTTGGGATTTATAGAACTTATCTTGGTATATTATTATCATCAAAAGTGTGTTTGAGATGCTAGTGCAGAATTGCTAATTGTTCATAAGTACCTTGAAACATTAGATTAGCAATGTTTATAATTGTCTAAATACAGCATGACAATATGAAATCAATTACTATGCACATCAATCTTTGACATTTCAATGTATTACAACTGT